CCTCGAACCTGATCAATCTATATATGCGAGTAATCGATCAGCTCGTCTAGAATTTTCTTCTCGAAGTGCATTGGGTCAGATGCAGATGAACCCCAGTTGGATGTTAAAAATACGCGTTATTTTTCCAATTGGACTTGACTTATAATTTTCTCATACACTTTTCCGTGGCCGGTCGTGTTCTACTTCTCTGCCGCGTTGCTACTGGGGACAAGAATAGAGTGCGCACACACCACGTGATTTAAAGTACCAGGACCGAGCATAAAAAGACGACGACTATATATCGTACACCGCGTGTTCTTGTTTTCACCGTTAAAAGTATCAAATCATGATCGGCAGGTAAAAGTTTTCTTGTATTTCGCATGCTAAATGTGACCTCAGAGGTGTTGGGGTGTTTATTTAGGGGGCACCCCGTACAGGGCTGTTCGGTTGCATCATGCAAATGGTAACTGCTACTTACGATCCTAACAGGCACAAAACTCTCATCTGTGGCTCCCCAACGCTAGTCTCTGCCAAGTTACCATACCTCGGTAACCGCCTCGGGCGATGAGATAAATCACATTAGGGTATCCGGTGTAGCGTCTTCACATCCGATAAGTCTTCTCCCTTCCTCATTCCTCCCCCCTCCACTTCGAAAAGTCCTAAGGGGGGGGGGGGGGGCGACATGCAATCCCGTAGATGGATCACGATAACTCGAGTCGCTCTCCTTCTAGACAAGGCCGTGACCCATAGCGGAGATCGGCAGCCGTCCGGGCTGCAGTAGCAGCCCTGTTTAGGGACGGCAGTAATTACCCCCACGCGGGTGGAAACGTTAGAAAAGGCACCTTAAACGAATGCTGTGATCAGGTCATCTACACACAGACCACGGCTCGTGGATGTAAAACTCATGGCCGAATAACTGGCGCTCTACAAGGTGGAAATCGCTGCTCTCAGCGAGGCCTGCCTCTCCAAACAAGACTAACTGGAGGTGGGTGACGGGCACACCTCCTGAGGCAGCCGCCCAAAGGCAGGGTGACGCGACGCAGGTGTCGCCTATGTCATCCGGAACTACATCGTGTGACGACTGTCCTGTCTACCGCAGGACATTAAAAACCGCCTTTCTCTGCTGCGCCTGCCTCTCTAGGATTCAAATTCGTCGCCATTATCAGCTCCTACGTCCTGCCCAATGACGAGCCCTGAAGAGGCGAAGAACGAATTCGACGAGGACATGCAAGCCCTCCAGGCGATTGTGTCGAAGGCAAACAAGTTGGTTGGCCGTCAAGACGTCAGTGGTCGCGTCGTGACAGATCACGCTGCCTGGAAGTATGTTGGGTACCCGTGGTCTTGGCAGTTGAAGCGACAACGGCCTCCCCATTCTCTGGACCTACACAAAACACCGGCTTCTTCACGCCAAAGCCTTATTTCGCCTACCGATGAGGGAGATGATAACCTTGATGCACCCACGACGGCGGCGCTGGCACCTGCTGGACTATGTACACGTCCGGAGATGGGACGGACGGGATGTGTTAGTGACCAAGGCGATCTGCGACGCCGACGGTTGAGCCGACCATAGTCTTATCATCTCCCAGGTGAGGTTTCGACTTCAAACTCGCAGGGAACCAAAAGGCGAACGATCTCAGCGATCGACTGACCCAGCGACTGGAATATCTGCGGATTCCAGACGATAACACCACCGTGGATAAATGCAGATGTCAACTGGGTAACGTTATCCTACCTATCGCTCTCGATGTCCTCGAACGCACACGTCATCAAAACCAGGACTGGTCTGACAACAACGACACAAAAATCAACAACATACTCGCCGAGATAAGTAGATTGTTTAAAGCCTGCATCGGCCCCCGGATCGAAGCAAAGACGGTTATGAGAGATGTAGGACGACTGGGTTGATCACGAGACCGGGAAAATCCATGAATATGCGAACCGCGATGAAAAAAAGAATAATTTTGCTTCGATTAAAGCGATCTACGGTCAAACAGCCGAATAAACCGCGTCGCTTCTCAGCTCCGACGGGATAACACGTCCCACGGAGAAATCACAAACTCTGAACCGTTGCGCTGAACGTTTCAGAAGTGTCCTAAACCGCCCATCTACATAGCTTGGCCGTTCTTGCCGACGATGTCCACCGTGTGCTCCACAGCAAGGTGGGGCAGGGACGGTGACTTGTGCGTGAATTAGTTTATATTGGTAATAGACTTGCATAGAATCTGCCGCACTCTTCTCCCTCCTCACCCGGTGTCAGGACAGAGTCAAGAAGGCCGGAGGCGGGGGAGGACGCAGGTGGATGGCACGGTCGAACCCGCACCTTGGCTTTCCACTCCACACTCCCTGGTCCACGCAGCAAATGATCAGGTTTTCAACTGACAACAACTATGGGGGGAGGGGCGGCAGAGGTCCCAGTGTGCACGACCTCTGCCAACGCACCCCGAAATGTTGGCATTTGTTATGGTACGCATATCTGATAACGCCTGCCAGAATCCGATATTCCCCGATGCTGGTCCAGCACATCTACTACGTGGGCCGTTTGGGAGGGCCAATACAAACGCACACGACTGGACAGACTGCGTAGACTGAGTTAGGGCGTCGGTCAGCAGCCTTCCAAGCCACGGTGCCAGACGCACCGTGATAGTCTCAAGCTCGACCACGTATGTATTGGGGAGCCGCATGGAGACTGAGTAGAGTCGCACACTTCCCACTTGCTTGGGAGGTGACAATTGGATGCTTGTGGTGGATGATGATGTTGCGTGATACAGGTGTTGGTGGGGAAACATATGATGGTGTGGCGTAGCGGGTGACTGTCTACTGTAGGTTTTTGTGAATGCGTATGTGGCCGAATAAACCACTGCAATGGGTGAATGTGTGAGGGCAGTGTGGACAGTGGAGGTTAATGCGGTGAGTGTATATTGGTGTTCCAGGCACTGGTTCGCCAGTATCTGTTCAATGGATTCGCAAATGACCGACCAGGCTGATGTGTGAGGTGAAGATGCGGTCGCAATGAGGGCAGGTATGGATCGAGTCCATATCGTTGGTGTTGGCGATGGTGAGGTGGATGTTTGTCAGTGCATCAAGATTTAGTGCAGTGGTGGTGGGTACAGGAGTCTCCGCAGCGCATACTGAGGCGATGGAGGTGGATGGCAGTGGGGATTCGGGAGTTCGGTCAGTGTTAGTTTTCGGCGTGGGGGATGAGGTAGAGGTGGACGAGGGAACATCGGGTGTTGTCATCCGGGTGCTGCAGTTAGTTTGAAGATGCCCAACAAGACATATTGGTGCTCGGAACATCCGCTGACATCGTGGGCGGGTGGGGGACGGCTGAGCATTGGCGTTGCGAGATAGGAGCAGTTCAGATTTGTGAGCTTCGCGTTTGGCTTTGGCGAAGATTATGCAGTTGGCTTCGTAGATCGCTGCGCCTGTCTTCACTGCTGTCCCCCAGGTCGGTCGGGCGGTCCCAATCGAGGTCTTCGCAGCTGGTTAGGTCGATTTGTAGGCGCCTTAGTGAAGTCTTCAGAGTATCCTTGTGGCACCGGACTTGATCTCATTGTCAGTGGGAACCCGCGACGACATCTGCATAGAACAGTCGTCTGGATAATCGCCCGTCGTCTATTTGCGCGGGGCGTCCGCTCCAGCGCAGTTACAGTTGTCTCGGCATGACGTAGATGCTGAGGATTCCTGTCCATTCCAGTACATCCGTACCCGGGATCCGGTCCTGTCACTTCAATTTCACTATCCGTCGGAGACAACTGAGGTGGAACCGCCCATCCACTATCTTCGACGCCGCCATCGTCCAGCTCCCTCAACGGAAAACGAACGACCTAAATCTGCCGACCACCAAAGACTTATAACAACTCTGTAGCAGGAAAACGCCAGTGTCATACGCGGTCTTGGCTGAAGTTTGCAAGCATGACTGCGGCGGCCGGTGAATCACCTTAAAACGCTAGTCCGGGAGATATTGCGCCGAGGACAAATTCCTCAAGATTTCAGACACCACAGTCGCACACTTCCAGAAGCGGAAAGGGAATCAGCAACTCTGATAATCACAGAGCAGGCCCGTTACTCAAAATCACCCGGAAGATTTTCAATCGCATCCTTCTCAATCATCCCAACGCGCAGGTACTTCTACCGAGAATCCGCTATGGCTTCCGACGACACGGTGGAACCATCGACATGAACTTTGCCTCCCGCTAACTGCAAGAGATGTGGCAGGAGATGCAAATCCACTAAAATCCTTCGGCACGGTGAGTCGCGATAGAATTTTGGAAATCATGCATTCAAATCTCCTGAGCCATTCACGCCCATGGTGTGTCAGCTCCCCTACAGGGTGATGGCGAGCCTCACAGACAATGGGATAATCTTAGAAACATGTGCGTTAACCAACGGAGTGAGAAAGGGCTGGGTACTCGTCTCCACCCTCTTCATCCTCATGTTCTCTGCGAGAGTGATGGACCTCTCGTCCCTCTCACTACTGTAAACGGCACCAAACTCAAGACCGTGAACAACATCGCCTATTTAAGCAGCACTCTCACGCAGCAGCAAAACCCTTGACAAAATGGCCCACTGGATCTCCAAAGTTATCGGGACTTCGGTCGGCTGCAGCCCTCCATCTGGAACAGCCAAGACAGGAACTGAATAACTTTCAGTTCAGCTGTCTCCGAAGAATTTTAGAGATGAGTTGACAGGACAGGATTCCCAGAATATAAATCTAGGGACGCGCTGAGATCCTCAGCTGCGATGGAGTGGTAACTTCGTGAGAATGAACGGTGAGCTACAACGAAAACTACTCTTCTACAGAGGTGTCGCTACGGGTGCTCGCTGACAATGTCAACACGCCGATACCAGGGCTTCCTGACGAACATTCTAAAGCACTAGGAAGACCTAGGAAGATCTCCCCCAGGATCGACCAGCAACCTATGATGCCAACCGGATCGTCCCTGTCAAAGCCGAAAGCGATTCGCAATTCCCAAGCGCCTCCGATCCACGTCGACACCTAACCCTTTCCAACATACCTATACTGCCAAAGAACGTTTCGTGGGCGGGTCACCCTCATCGGACACCTACAAACCCAACAGTCCACCTGATGCCCTCATAAACGCCCCCATCGTCATCATCATCGTCGTCGTCGTCATCCCCACCACCACCGTCATCATCATCCCCGCACAGGCTCCATGACGACGACGACGACCACCACCACCATCATCGGTGATCACAACCCTAATGTCCCACACTGTCGACCACCGCCAAGCCGAGTCCTTCTGGGGGACATGCAGTAGGTGGACTAACTCATGAAAAGTCGACCGAAATTTTGAAATGCGTTCTCGTTTTGAAAAGATTAATTATGTCGGACTGTAAAACTAATCGTCATGCAGCATAATTCTACAATGACCCAGTTACCGCAGGCTGCCGGCTTTCAAATGAACTTATTTTCGATCGCATGCAAGAATATACTCTGCAAAAAATGACTACTTAAGTAGCGTGCAATTTTCTTGTCGATTTTAGATGGCCTTGAAAATTAAATTGAAGTTCATGGAAAACATGCATAAAATATTCATTCGTTTACTTATTCGGTAGAAAATCACGTCTTCCTCCAATTTCATAGTAGAAAGAAGAGTATAATTCAGTTTTAAAAAACTTTTCTAATTCCCGAATAATTTTGAAACCAACCTGCAGTTATATTTGCATTTAGGGTTTCAAAACTACAAGCCTTATATTTTCCGTGCACGGAAAACCATACATTTCTCTACGGTAGTAAGAGGAGACCATATGGGATTCATAAAATTAAACAGGGGATGTTAGCAATATTGTTAACTTTACAAGCCACATTGGCAAATGCAGATACATGACGTTTTATGAACGGCCAGTTCACGGTATTAAAAAATCTCAGAATTAGAAACTTTTTTGAAACCGAACCATATTCTTTCTTCGAGTATAAAAATCGGAAGACGTAATTTTTTATCGAATGAGCAAAAGAATGAATATTTATATGTATGTTTTCCATTAAACATAATCAAATTTTTAAGGACATCGAAAATCAGTGGGAAAAATTCATGCTACTTAAGTAGTCCTTTTCGCAGAGTATAGTTCATGCGTGCAGTCGAAAGCAAGTTCGTTCGAATGAAGGCACCCTGAGGTAACTGGATCATTATAGAATTATGCTGGATGGCGATTCGTTTTACAACCATAATTAATCTTTTCGAAACGAGAACGCATTTCGAAATTTCTGTTGACATTTTATGAGTTAGCCCAGCTACACTCTTTAGCACATGGAATCGAACTCTAGGAGTCTAACCATAAGAGGCGAACTAAAAGGATAATCGAATTTTGCCTCCAAGATCAGGGTCATACAAAGCAGGTTCAAGCTTTAGGTTCCTCCAATTTTACGAGTGTAGTACACATCGTTCATTTAATATTTTTACTACACTTGTCTACCGAGGACGGTGGGAACCTCTGGGGAGGACGCGGTCCAGTAGCCTTTATGGGGAGTCAATTATCAAAATGCCGTAAGCCACCGGACGAATGTTGTGCTGAACCTCCAGTAAGTCCGCACTCGCCGTTGTGTGGCATAGTTCTGAGACCTTAAGCTGGGGCGGATGGTGGACGACGACGTCCGCCTACGAACCCTGGGGCCGCTGGAAGCCATCCTTCCATCAAACCGCCCACAGCTAAACCGCATTCTCGGATGTCCCGAGGACTGTGACCCATCTGCACGAATTAAGACACCTTCCTGCGAGAAAGCGGCAACGTCAATTTCTGCAACTGCCGCCGTTCTAACAAGGTGTCGGCGAGTCCGAAAATCAAGAAGTGACTACTTTCAGGACTTTGCGACGCGGGCAATATCAACTTTGAACAGTAGAATCAGGGGTTGTGTAACGGCTGGCTAACGATGGCCTGTACAACACATGATCTTAGCTCTTTCTGGTTCGTTAACTTTGTGGTTGGTTAAACTCCTGGCCAAATGTTTATTGTGGACAAGGGGGTGTGGAGTGGAGCGCCAAAGTGTGGGCCCGACAGTGCCAGCCATCTGCGCCCTCTCCCGCTTCCGGTCTTCTTGTCTATGTCTTTTCACCGCGTCCAGGTGGGAAGGAGGAGGAAGTGCGGCAGCCTACTCTCACTATAAACTAACTCACGCGCAAGTCACCGTGCCTGTTTCACCTTGCTGTAGAGCCTACGTGGACATCGTCGGCAACGACGGTCGAACTGCCGAGCCAGCATTGTCCACGACAGACTGTCTTAGCCGGTAAAACTTCTCGAACAATCGTACTTCTAACGACCTGCGTAGATTGACTTTCTTATAGACTCCTGGGTGTGAATTGGCGTTACATGAGCACCGAGCCCACAAAATGTACCGCGATGTTGAGTTGATCCCTAGCAAGATCCAAACAAGTATGCGACATACGTAGATGGAGTGGGGGGGGGGGGATTAATCCTTTCAGCTACCGCACCCGACCTCGTCTCCAGTCAGGCTTTTGCGTCTGTTCCTGCTGGGCCGAAGTTGTTCTGTCTCACAACAGGGGAAAGAGCCAGCCGGAGGTCACACGACCAACGCGAGACATCGCCCACCGGCACGCCCAAACAGCCGAGCGTGATTCGCACATGCAACGGCAGCCGATCAGGCCATCCAATTATGAGGGGAGGGCCCATGGGCACAGCGACTACGACAGCCGAGCAGGGGGCAGAGGTCACAGGAGCGCGCCAGCGGTCGCCCGCGGAGAGACCAAAGTCAATCCTCAGTCAGAAGGCAGGTCAGAGTTCGTGCGTCAGGCATGCCTATAACACGAAACAGGCGGCGAGACGGACAACTCCGGCCGAGTAGGAACAGACACCCCGCCACTGGTGATGGAAACGCCAACATCGATACAGTGTGGTCCATGCAATCGCCCCTTTTTCTTCTCCGTCTTCTTTTGTGCCGTGGGACTCAAATGATTTATATATACAGTAGGTGGGCTAACTCATAAAATGTTAACGGGAATTCCGAAATTCGTTTTCGTTTTGAAAAAATTAATTAAGTACGGTTGTAAAACTAATAATCAGGCAGCGTAATTCTATGATAATTCGGTTACCTCAGGATGCCGGCTTTCAAACAAACTTTTTTCCGGCTGCATGCAAAACCTTTACTCTGGAAAAATGACTGCTTAAGTAGGATTGATTTTCGATGCCCTTAAAAATTCAATTATATTTCGCGGAAAACATGCATAAATATATACGTTCTTTTGCTCATTCGATGGAAAATT